AAAAAAAAAAAAAAGAAAGAAAACTAAAATAAAAAAATAGGTGCTTCTAAACACTTATGTGATATCATATAAATGCACAGCACTGGTAACTCCAAAATGGCAAACCCAGCTTCCTGAGTGATCTGTCTGCCTTTCTCCTGTGCTAAGTGTGAAGACCAAGAGTTAGCCTGGTAGCAAAGGCTAAAGTGAAGGATGAAAGGTGTTTTCAGACATGCCAGGGAGGATAAAGACAGAGTAGGAAAATGAGGATCTAAGTCTCTAGCAGGCTGCAAAGGATGAAGTGCTTGCTTCACAAAAGATCAGGATCTAGTCGATTTCTTTCCATAGACTTATTCCACCTAATTTGTTTGATGGTCAACTACTATACTGATCCTTTGTGCTTCCCTTATTTCATTGTTTCCCTTCATATGTGGTTACGCTTCTTGGAGCATATAAGGGATACATAAGTACTCCTTATCCAAAATGCTTGGGATGAGAAATGCTTCTGATTTTGGTTTTAGACTTAGGAATATTTGTATAATATGCAATGGCATCTCTCTGTAAGGAGATCTCAGTCTCAATTTGAAATCTATGTTTCATATAAAATTTTTACACAGAGCTTGAAGGTAAGTTTAGACAATATTTTTGGTGTGCTTGCATTCTGAGTGTCATCTATCCTATGAAATCTATCCTATGAAATCACTTGTGTCATGTTGACGTTCAAAAGGTCAAATTTGGGAGAATTTCAGATTTTGCGTTTTCAGGCTACAGATTCTCAATTTGGAATCCCAACAAAATGCAAGTTAAAGGAGGGAAGAAAAGGTGTTTGGACTTGTGGTATGAGATCAAAGAAAAAAATTAAGCCTGTGATACATTAAGAAATTAACTTGGGGGCTGTGAAGGTGGATCAGTGGTAGAGTACTTGCCTTGCATGCATGAGGCCCTGGGTTCGATTCCTCAGCACCACATAGGCAAAAAGAAAAAAGCCAGACCCCCCCCAAAAAGGAAATTAACTTGGAAAAAATCATATTAAGTAACCCAGTACCAAAGAAATGGATGACCCTTCGCAACAAGGATACCCACAGGACAGTATATTGGAAACGAACTTTACAACTTTAGGTGGAGGGGGGAAATGGGTTGTGGGGGGAGAAGTGGGACAGGTGGGGAGGGCAAGAATAGTAGGACCACAAGGAAGGGAAGGGGTAACAATGACCGATAATTAATGTACTCATTGCCTTACTCATGTAACTGTAAACTCTCTTTACAATAAAATTAAAAAAAAAAGAAATTAATAATCTAAATATTTTCTAGTATTCTTATCCAAGGCAGCTGGAAATTACTTTTAGGCTCTGCTTTTGCAGATCACGTGCAGGAGGTCATGTGCATGCTGCAAAAGACTGGTTCTTTGACACAAAAATGCTATGCAATGTCAGTGGCTCCTCTCCACAGGCCCAGGCCTCACCATTCAGCTGTCAACAAAGCACTGAAGAACTCAGCATGCATGCTAAGAACAGCTCCAAAGTTGCCTTTCCAGTTTTAAGCAAATCTAACCCACCTGTTACTATTTTGCCACAGTCCTACACAGAGCCAGCTTTCCATTATTGATGTTAATGGAATGGGGGGAGGGCAAATTTTCGATTATCCATGCAAAGCTGCAACAGATGCATTCCTAAAAAGTTGTCTAAATCAAAATTCTTTATCTTTAACCCTTTTTCCTGTTCATTGCTACAAAAATTCCAGTTGTGGCCTGAAATAGCAAACCAAGGACAGACTGAATAACCCATACTCAATCACTATCAACCACTGTCCACAACTGAGAGAACAAGAGGAAGAAACTCAGGTCTAAATGCTGACAAAATGATCCAAGATGTGAACTTAAACATAGCTAGGGTGTGGGTTTGGCCAAGGCAAGAGAGACACTCAGGGGACCCTCACTGTCAAGTTCATTGTAGGGTACTGTCTCCTTAAGTTCTCCTTTCAAGTATCTCTCTTGCCTAATCTAAGCTGAGATATGACAATATATCATCTTGTTCAGACCTACTTTATTTACAGCTAAAGGTACTTCCTTATTACTCCACCTGCTGAGTACTAAGGTTGAAATCAGGGCTTCTCACATGTGAGGTAAGCAAACCCCCAGCTAAGTATAGCCTCAGTCCAATATTATTGGCTAGGTAATGCAAGAACTTAACCATTGTTAAGATTTTCCCTTCTCTCTCTCCATTAGGTAGGCTGCTCACTTCCTCCAGTCTTCCAGTACATTCATTTTGTGTAGGGAAATGTGTTGTTGGTTCCTTTCACTAGTAGTACAACACATGAGAAGACAAGCCAAGACGGACTGACCTTTAAAGGCAGGTAGCAGAGGTGAGAGGTGATCAGGTCTTACAGGGAACTGGGGAGAGGGGCGGGTGCCCTCTCAACCTGCACCCCAGAAGACAAAAGCCTAAGCACCAACAGTGCTGGTCCCCTCCTTATTACTAAGAGGCTTTCAAGGTAATGCAGAGGGCTGTACAGATCCAGAAGCAGGAAGAGACTCCTTGTTTGTTTTTTGTTTCAATATCTCTCTACGTAGCCTAGACTGGATTCAAACTCAAAATCCTTCTGCCTCAGCCTCTCAAATACTGAGATGAGACTCTCTTTGACAATACTGCTCAGAACTTTCAAACTGATTCTCTAAAGACTCTTTCTACAAAGATATTGGCAGGACCTTATCACTTTTGTAAGCAAGAGAAAGTAGCACCATATATCCAGGAGAAGTAAGCCCTTTGAGAATTGTATCTGCTTCTGCTTGGCCCCTGAGAAGTCAATAGGCTATTTTATGGAGGATGATGGCAAAATGTACGAGCTTTTACATTTTCAGATAAATGAGACCCGTCAAGGCTCAGGCCTGGCCGATGAGGCTAGCTGCTAGGTGTTTGTCAGATCTCTCTGGGTGGCTCAACATTAGCCCTATGAGTTTTATAAAGAGTTGTAACCTTTTCAGTTCCTTGGTTCTTTTTCTTCCTTAGGCCTTCAGCCAAGCTGTTCTAATTCTTGGCCTGCAATGTAGTCTACCAACCTCCACTTTAACCCCTACAGCCTATCAAACCTAACCAGCTTCCATCTTTTCCAGTTCAGGCTAAGTGGTAATTATCGACTCCCACATACTTTATGCATTAAAAGAACTTAGAGCATTGCCTGGGGCATTAGTTATACTCTATCTAGCTATTACTCCACAATAAAAATATGTCTGTTATATGTTTATGTCTCTGTATGTGTATGACGCGTGCGCGCACGCGCACACACACACACACACACACACACACACACACACACGAGAGCCACCAGTACTTGCCCTGGAAAATATTTTTTTAAATAACTCAAAGCAAAAAAAAATTGCAGTTTTAATTTAAAAGTCTATTTGTTCTTCCACAGAAATAATCAATTAGTGACTCTTTTTTGATAATAAATTACAATCACTGTATATAAATTTTCTTATGTAGCTCTGTAGCATGTTGAGCTAATAAAAGAACAATAATTATGTGCAACTGAAACTCTAATAGCACAATTATTAAAATAATATTCTTGATAACAACCAGAACAATTCTAGTGTTATAAAACTAACCAACAGCCAGGCACCAGTGGCTTACACTTGTAATCCTAGCTACTCAGGAGGCTGGAATCTGAGGATCGCGGTGCAAAGCCAGCCCAGGCAAGAAACTCCATGAGATTCATCTCCAATTAACCACCAGAAAACCAGAAGTGGCGCTGTGGCTCAAGTGCTCACCTTGAGCTGAACAGCTGAGGGACAGAGCCCAGGCCCAGAGTTCAAGCCCCCACAAACCACACACACACACACATACACAAAAAAATAGTAACCAACATGGGAAGAATGTAGCTTCAGGCCACCCAGGCTTGGTTAGCCACTATCTACTAACCTTTCTCCTTCCTGCCTTCTACAGCAGACAGGAACCCAAGGCCCAAGTCCTCATAGCCTATAATTCACTCATAGGCCCTGGCACCCAGCACAGCCCTGTAGCTTACTTGTGGACATGTATGCTCTTTTCTGAGCTATGAGTTCTTTCTTCTTAACAGGGAATGGTGTTCATTTTTATATATACCATTGTGTATCTGTCATTCACATAAATTGTGAATATTATAACTTGTCAATATGTACATCTGGGCAGATCTTATCCCAAGGCTTCCAATGAAAAAAAAGAGTCTTTTTTTTGGTGGGGGGGGGGCGGTCATGGGGCTTGAACTCTGGGCCTAGGGGCTGTCCCTCAGCTCTTCAGCTCAAGGCTAGCGCTCTACCACTTGAGCCCAGCACCACTTCCGGCTTTTTTTTCAAATTTTTGCTTATGTGGTGCTGAGGAATGGAACCCAGGGCCTCAAGCATGCAAGGCAAGCGCTCTACCACTGAGCCACCTTCCCAGCCCCCCTCCCCAAAAAGAGTCTTTTGCACAAGAGTTCTGGCAGGTTTTCCCTTAGGAGCTAGATGGTAAATATTTAGTCTTACAGGCCAGAATGCTTCTACTTTCAACT